AGACAGACAGACACAGAGAGAGACAGAGAAACAGGGAGCGACAGAGACAGGGAGAGACAGACAAAGAGAGAGCGACAGACAGACAGAGAGAGACAGACAGAGAAACAGGGAGAGACAGAGACAGAGAGAGACAGACAGACAGAGAGAGAGAGGATCTACAGGTAAGACGGTAACACACAGATGATGAGAGCCAGCCACGTACCCGCAGACATTCCATCGCCTCGCTCGTCCACTTCAGCTCGTGCAGACACCGCGCGAGCCGGAAGTGCGCCTTAATGTGGTTGCCGTCGAGTCGCAGCGCCGTCGCGCAGTCACGCAGCGCCGCGTACAGGTCGCCATCCCTGCAACGAGTGAACGTTCTCGCGGTGTTTTTATGTTTTCGTGTTTTTTTTTCCGACAGTGTTCGTTTTCTGGAGGTGTTGTGCATGTCGTTGTCAAACTCGTTAAAATCTCGTTCGTCACGCGCTCGTTACCCTTGCGATCACCTCGTCTCGTATTTCATTTTGTTTCTTCTCTACCACTCTCTCCATCTCCATCTCACTTTTCCTGTTCCTCTTCCTCACTAATCTCGCCTTATTCTTGTTCGCTCTACTCAGTCTCACCCCCTTTTACCTCTTCCATCCTCCACGCTCCTTCTCCCTAACTTCTGTCCCGCCCATCGTCCCTCCCTACTCTCTCACTCCTTACTCGCCTCTCTCTCTCTCGCTCCTCCCCCTCTCTCCCTCCTCCTCCGCACCTCTCCCCGTCCTCCTGCCCGCCTGCTTCCTCCTCCATACGCCTCTCTCCTGCCTCGCCTTCCTCTCTCACTCCCTTCGCTCCCTCATCCGCCTCCTCCTGCCCCCTCTCTCCCTCCTTCCTCCTTCTACTCTCCTCCTGCCTCCCGCCTCTGCTCCCTTCTTCCTCCCTCCCTCTCTCGATCGCTCGCTCCCTCGCCATCTCTCCTTCTTCCTCCGCTCTCTCCCTCGCTCCTCTCTCTACCCTCCATCCCGTCTCTCGCTCACTCATGCCCCCTGCATCTCGCCGCTTCCTCCCTCTCATCCCGCCTCACTCACTCATTCCTCCCGCCCTCTTCGGCTCGCCTGCTGACGGCTCTCTCCCGGCATCCCTCGCCTCCCCGCCTCATCTCCCGTCTCTCAATACGACTTGCCTCCCTCCCCCGTCCCACTGCTCCGACATCTCACCACGCCGCAGTTTCAATCTAGGCGGCAGCAACGGTTCGTAGCAGCACGGGCGGCGCCCCCCCGGGCGCTTAATATGACACATCGCTTTGTTATAGAGGGCGATAGGGCGATGCGTGATAGTTCGTGCTTGTCGAAAACACTGTTCGCGCTGAGCCTTCAGTGGTCGGCCCGCGGAGACAGCCTGGTGGCGCCCCCTCTGCAAAAAAAATAACAATAGAACGTTGCGGCCTACGGGGTGACATATTGGAGGGACGATCAATTTATGCGAGCTACGGAAGACATTGTTAAATTATTAAATGTGAATATAAATTTTTTAAATAGATGAATCACACCAACACACACACGCAGCGCACGCCATCACACACAAACACACACCCACACACACAGCACGCACGCAGCACGACCACGCACACACAGGCCACGCGACAGCGGACCACGCAGCAACAACAACACACACACACACACAGCCGACGCACGCACTACACACACACACACTCATTGCACGCACGCACCGCGAGCCGCGCACGCAACGCAGCACACAGCCTAACGCTGGCAGCGCACGCGATGCACCGCACGCATGCAGCAGCACACAGACACAGCTAACTCACCTTTTGGCATGGCAGCGAGCTACTCTGCCATCCAGAGATGGGCAGAACCCGTGGCGCGGCAGTGGTCGTGACACTCGCGTTGCGAGACACGCTCGTCGTTCCGTTGAGATATCCGTTAGCTGAGTCTGGTGGGTCAGCAAACATATCGAGTAAGTGACAGAGATTAATTCGCTTATTAATATTAAGAAAGTATTCAACTTTGTTCGGCAGCCACAAGAAACTACACGCATTTCTACCAAACGTTTCTTCATCATTTCCTGCTTAGCCCTACTCTCCACACTCCCTAATAAATTTCATTCCATTTGCATCCTTCTCTTTATAGCCTTCCATTCTCCCACTACTTATTGCCGGCTTCTGGACACGGCCCTCCTCCTCGCGTCCCTGCTCCATCCCCTCCCTCTCACCCTCGCTCCCACTCCCCCTCCTCCTCGTAACCTCCCCCCCTCCCCTCCTTCCCACTCGGCTCAACGCTTTAGAGAACCTTTTAGTGGTGAAAGACAGTGTGCAGGTCGTAGTTGGTGGCGCGGTTGATTCAAATAGATTTTAGTATCTGTTGGATAGATGTCAAAATAGATAGATCGCGCCGCTCTCACCTTCCGCTCCCCCTCATCCTGACCTCCTCTACGCCCTCCCTCCTCACCTTTAGACTTTGTGGTGATGAGAAGGGCAGGTGCGTAGTTGGGTGCGGCGGGCGCGCGCGACATAGACATGGCGAATAGATAGATGCTGTTCTGCACCGCACTCTCCCTTCCCCTCCCCCTCTCCCATCTCAACCTCCTGTTACTCTCCTCCGCCTCATCCTGCCTCCCTGGCTGCGCCCGATCCGCCTCCTCACACGCTTTAGACTTTGGGTGTGATGAGAAGGGGCAGGATGCGTAAGTTGTGTGGCAGGAGGACGGCGATTGACATGGCGAAATAGATAGATCTAGTTCTGGCTCCCCATCTCCCCTTCCCCTCCCCTCTGCCCTCATCACCTCATACTACCCTCTACCTCCTCCCCCTCTCCTCCTCCTCTACCCCTCCCCCTCCTCACCTTTTAGACTTTGTGGTGATGAGAAGGGCAGGTCGTAGTTGTGTGCGGCAGGCAGGGCGGCGACTGACATTCGAATAGGATAGATAAATGTTCTCCCCCGGCTCTCACCTTCGCCCAGCTCCACCCTCATCCTCATTACATTGCCTCCCCTCTCCTCCATCCTGCTACCCTGCCCACTGACCCTGCCCTTTAGACTTTGGTGGTGATGAGAAGGGCAGGTCGTAGTTGGTGGCGGCGCGGCGGCGGTTGACATCGAATAGATAGATCTGTTCTCCTCCGAGGTTTGCGAGCAGTTCGCTACCATCGGGGCTGAACGTGATGTAGGTGGCTGCGAGTGTGCGAAATCTCTTCCTGTATTCCTGCTGCTTTAACGGGAGGTGACCTGAGAGAGGGGAGCAAGAGAGGGTTTTAAAGAGGGAGCGAGAGAGAGAGGGTTTAGAGAGGGAGAGGGAGAGGGTTTAGAGAGAGAGAGAGGAGAGTGGAGAGGGTTAGAGAGGAGAGGAGAGTAGTAANGTACTTATAAGACTTTGGAAGACCTGCTACGAACCCTGGAGAGGAGAGAGAGATAGAGGTGGAGAACGAGTACAGAGATAAGTAATCTTCCTTCATCTTCCCTACCTGCTACAAAGTACGTGACAGCATCCTTTGGCAGGTTGAACTCCTCCCCCTCTGCAGTCGTGTTCACGTGGAAGCTGTGACGTTCCCATGGCGACCGTGTCCCTTGACCTTCTGTCGCCCTGTGTGAGCACGCAGACAGATTGCCACAATATAATAATAACTAGAGCACTCAGAGAGCACAGACCTCCGCCAAGG